CATTGTAATCACCATCTTTCAGCACCAAGACCACAGAGATCTATCTTATTGTTCAGCTTGGGTTTCCACATGAAGCAAGACTTGGAAAGGCAGATGAAAGTTCAACAGTCCCATAGCCATGAACTAGACCAAACGTATCAAATCCCAGCCTTGGACAACCCATGGTCAAGATAACACGAGACACCTGGTTCCCAGCTCTTGGTTTTTAAATATCATTCCCCACCTCAGGGCTCCTGGGAGAAATGGTTGATTCCAGGGCTGGTTTTTAAATATCATTCCCCACCTCAGGGTTCCTGGGAGAAATGGTTGATTCCAGGGCTGGGGCTGGGAAGTCCCAGCTAAGCATGGACATCCTATTGTGCCAGAAAGCACAAAAATGTTTGTTTTTAATATGAAAAGCTCATTAAATTTATACAGACAGAAAATAGACTGCTTGGGCAGGAGGGATCTTATTGGGAGGATGAAAATATTAAATGGATCTATGGTGGGCTGGCCGAGTGGCGCGTTAGTTAAGAGCTGACTTGGGAGCGCGAGCTCTGAGCAGCAGGGTCCTGGTTCAGATCCCACATGAGGGCCAGTGATGCTGCGCCCCCTACAGCTAAGATGGTGAACAACAGCTTGACTTAGAGCTGGGCTGCCATGAGTCACCAGCGACAGCATAGGCTGCAGCCCCTGCTGCAGTGGGCTGCCGTGAGCTACTGTGAGTGGCTGGCAGCCAGTGTGAGCAGCCGGCAGCCAGCATGAGCTGCCAAGAGCTGCCGTGAGTGGCCATCCAGTGGCCGGCAACCGATCTGCCTCAGCCGGGAAGAGCACAATGATAATACCAACATGGGCCAGTGAAGCAACGTCCTCCACAACTAGACTGAAGAACAAAAGAACAGTAAGTTGTCTGTTCCCCTTCCCCAATTCCCCAATAAAATCTTTATAAATAATAAATAAATAAATAAATAAATAAATGGATCTATGGTCATGTTTTTTACCCTTCAGTAAAGTTATTAAAAATCATTGAGTTGTATGCTCGAAATGGGTGAATCATATATATGCAAAATATATCTCATCAAGCAGTTTCTAAACAGTATCACTTTTTTTTTTTTTTAAGCAAGAGACTATTCTAGAAGAGTCTGAACAACCAAATCCATGAAAAACCTTGATTAGATCCTGGATTGAAGAAAAAAAAATGCTTTAAAAAAGGCACTCAGGGGAAATCAGGGGAGATTTTTTAATGAACTGTAAATTAGATACTACCACCAAATTATTGGCATACTTTCTTGGGTGTGAGAATGGTCGTGTGACAATGTAGGAGACTTGCCTTAAATCCTCAGGCCATGCAGCTGAAAGAAGTAAGGACTGAAGCATCTGATGTCTGCAACATACTTTCATGTGACTGAGGAAAATATACATAAATACATAAGAGGCTAGAAAATGCAAATGCAAAACAATGTTAACAGTTCAAGCTATACGGAAGGTATACTGGTATTCGGTGTACCATTCTTTCAACTTCTCCATAACTTTAACATGTTCAAAATAAAACATTTGGGTAAAATATTCCAAGGACCACATTTATTTGCTTTAGGGTAGACCTTAAAGAATCTCTGTATAATGAATTGCACTAGTAAAATGACTCTGGATTATAGTCTTTTCTCCATCCCTCACTTATTACAACGTGCTGGGTTTCCTTTGGTATTTCAGGTGAGCCGTGTGCCTTCCTATCTCAGGACCTTTGCGTTTTGAGCTCAGGCCCTCCTCTTCCCTGGATTCTCTCACAACACCCCCTACCTTTCCTCCAAGTGCTTACCAAAAGGATAATAATTTGTTAAATTATCTGTGCTGCCATCATCCAGAAAGGATTGTAAGATTCAAGGGGGTGAAGACCTGTCCACCCCAGTCCTCCCATAGTACCTGGCCTCCTACCGTAGGCACCCAATAAATATTTTTAAGGGAATGAATTTGTTTAGTGGACCCACCACGGTGTCATCAATGGTCATGAATCTCACTCGTGTTAGGGAAGCACCATTTTATCTTAGGTTTGTCTCTAAGGAACATTTATTATTTTAGGTTCAGGTTTGCTGATGTTTCCTGGAGGTCTCTGCCAGCCTGTTTCTCAGTATCTCTCTAACGGATCCAGGTTTGGAAGGAGATAGAAAATCAAACAGAATGAGCCTGCAGTCATTTAGCGGGGAGACATGTTGCAAAGAAGATGGTAAATCAGTCAAGGACAAGTCAGAAAACACCATGCAAAGGTCCATGGAGGATTTACCAGAGCTTACTGCAGCTTCCGGCCTACCATGGATGTGGCAGGGTGATGAAGAAAGTGGGCTGTGATTTATCTCCTTGCTTTCAATCATTAAGGAGTGAACATTATCTTTTGCTCTCCTAAGAGAGTAACCAGTTAGCTCGGATATTAAAATCTGGATTTTTATCTTCCTATGGGGTCAGTTAGTAAGTGTTTGTGTGTCTAAAAAAAAACAAAAAACAAAAAAACCCCTGCAAATTGGAGTCTGTCTACTGCCATGAAAACAATCCCTAAAAACAGGCATTTGCTATTAAGTTATTGAGGCGATTAACTAGACGGGGAGGAGATGCAATGCAGGCTTTGTGCGTATCTGGTTGGGGAGGAGGATCTAGAAGGAAGATAGTTGCTCCCCCAGGACTGGGAGCAGAAGTGGGGTGCATGGGTCCAGGAGTCATGCATGAGGGTCGGAGGTAGCAGCACTCCAGGTGAGTTTTTCACTAGTCATTGCGAGGACTGAGCTGTAATCCCTGTAGTGTGACAATCTCTTGGGATGGCACCTCGTAATCTTCCAGGTAGTTCTTAAGCACATTCAAGTTTGAGAAGCACTGGTCTATATAGTCTTATCCCATTGGGGGTGTTAAAAAATTGTATGTGCTTGTATGTGTATACACACATATATATATATTAAAAATCACATTACACACGAACAGATGCAAAAAGGCCAGAATAATGTGTACTCTGTCCAAAGAAATGTCTGAAGGATTAAGATGGCAGAGTATAATTTGTTTCACTTTATAGGTTGTCTGTCTTGACTTTATCTTCAAAGATATTTCCAAAAGGAAATATAAGGTGCAGTGTGACCAGGGCTCCACTTCTCAGGGACTCTCAGCTCTGCCCTCTGTCATCTTGTCTGGCTCGCCTCTGGTTCACATAATGACTGCAGGAGCTCTGAATACCACATCTAGACATGACAGTGCAAGAGTGAAACACGTTTTGAATATAATGTACTCCATTTGAGGTCTGTCTGGTGCTTCCTCATTATTAGATTCAGGATATTCATCCCTCGCTAGAGTACTCTTGAGTGACGTGCCTTTCTCAGGTCATCACATATGGAGGACACACGTTCCATCTGCCCCTCACCGATGGCGTTAGTTTTGGTCATCCAGTCAAGGTGTTGTACAGTTTCTAGGTAGTTACTGCACTTTCTCTTGAAACTAATCAGCTTTCCAAGGATAGACATTTGAAGACTATACAAATATTCTGAACCTTATTAAATTTCCCCCTTATTAAATTGAGCATCCATTGGTGAGTCTTACCTGAACCGATCTTTATAATGGTTGCAAAATGATTTTCCAATGCCAACACTCCCAGTACATGTACCAGTGAGCACCTGGCATTCTACTTGCATCAATTTACTTTTGATGGGTTGTTGAGCTAGGAATGCAGTTTTAGGTTGAAAATAATTTTCTTCAGCATTCTGAAGAAATCGCTCCACTATCTGGGAGCATCCCATGTTGCCAAAGAGAAGTCTGATGTCATACTGAGTCCAGTTCCTTGATGTATGACCTGTTCCCCATCCGTACCCATCCCCAGAAGCTCTTAGAATCTTTTTTTTTTTAAGATTAAGTGAATTTATTTATTATTATTATTTTTTAGGTGAGCCATCCTGCCACCTGTTGGCAGCTCAGCGGCTGCTCAGCTCAGGCCGGGAATTGAACTGACTCATGAGTGAGCTCTTAACCAACTGAGCCACTCGGCCAGCCCTCTTAGAATCTTTTTATCTTTGATTTTCGGACACTGTATAATGATGTGCCTGGAATTACAATATTTTGTGTTCTTTTTTTTCTGGTGGCCTAACTCCCCCAGTTGTCCATCTTCCTACTCCAATTCGAACTGGTTGTTGCCTGGGACCGCTACACAAATGTATTCTCATCCCTTTACTATTCTGCGAATATTGGATCCTCCATTCCCTGAACTCAAAATCTCTTTTTTGGATTACTCCCTCATTTTGCTGAACCACACATCCTCTAGTAATTTCTCTCAAGCATTATGTTAAGAGAAAAAAAAGGCAAATTTCTGAATTATGAGAGACTAATAACTCATGGAAACTAATATAGGATGACGGTCCATGGTTGCACATGGCATAACTGTCTCCAGTTATTTATGGGTTACTGCTGGAAAAACAACGAAAGAGCGAAATAGGGAGGGGAATAAGAGACCCCTACTTTATCAGAAATATTCCATTTCTTTTATTTTCAAAGTATCTGCAGAACTAAACTTGAAAAACAATAAATCATGACTGTATCCATCAATAAATGATTATATCAATCATGTATGTACCAGGTTCATCAAAGTATTTAAAAGAAGTTCAAAATGGAAATATCCTAAATGTTCGGTAAGAGCCTGGTTACGTAAGGAATATAAATCCATGCAACATAATACTATGCAGCTATAAAAATATTATACATTACTTGTTGACTAGGACATGTGCATGATAATCTGCTAGCCAAAAAAAGGAGTCTATGATAGACTATGCATATTACATGCATGCATATGTGTGTGTAATTGTATGTTTGTGCGTACACCAAAATATTAAAAGTGGTGAAATTCATGGCCTAGGTACTGATCTAGGTAACATTTTGCTCTAAGCATGTATTTCTTTTATAACTAGAAAACCCTTCTTTTTTAAATTTAAATTTAATTTAAAAGTCACTATGTTCAAGAGGTTAAAAGTGGACAATGTATTCAAATGATGTAGGAACCTCAATTGTTCATAAAACAGTTAGGCATCTTATTTATTAAAAAATGAGAGAAGCACAAGAAAACTGCCCTGTTACCAGCAGACGATGGCTGTAAAGAGAACCTCCAGTCTCAGGAACAAACACAATTTGGCTTCCGATTCTGCTGCCTTCACATTTGAGACTCATTATTTACACTTTTACAATCCAATGGACATAACTCATCCATAATTAACCAATTTGCTAGTAGGCACTGAAGAACAAATTACAACTAAACTGCTAAGATTGCATGCAAAACAACAGCAAGAAAAAAAAAGCTACTCCATGTAAGTAATTACATTATACACTGAAAACTCCTGCTATATTTGAGACTGTTTTTCTTAGAAAGTTAACATCAGAGCTGAAAGTGGGCATCAAAAGACCACCGTGACCTTGAGCAAGGTCATCTACCATCTCTGGAGTGTCTTTCTACACAAACTTTAGACAGAAAATCTCACTCCCCATGCATTGTGCTTAAATGTGGAATGTTAAACAGTACCAGGAAAGTACCTATTTTTAGCATTACTAAAATTGACAGGTGCTCTTGTGGAGACAGCAAAGTGGTGTAAATTGAAACTTTTGGGGCAATTAAAATTTCCTGTAACACCACAAATCCATTGTAACTAGTAAGTAGATCCACAGAAATGAAATTATAACATTGATTATTGGTTCATTTAGGAGATATAAGCCAGCCTTAAAACTGGGCTTCATGTAATAAAATTTCCAAAATGTTTTCTTTAAGCAATATATTCAATCATCTGGCTTTTAAAACGATAGGATTTTTAGATTAAAGCAAATTCCGTGAAAGAAATAACGTATTAGTTCTGATCTGCTTATAAGGATGTTAAGAGACCACATTTTACAAAGTACTTTGAGAATCATTAATTCAAGGTATTTTAGAAACCAAGTATCTGGCTACTATTGCTTGTTTTCAGACAAGAAATAGGTGACCAAGGTAGGTGGTGTTGGACAATTGGTGGGGAGCATTTGGGCCTGGGTTCCTGGCATTTGGGACAGGATGAAAATGGTAGGAAGAGGACAGTAAAGGAGGTAGTGGAGGGGCAGAAATCCCTTTCATATTTTCTCAGCATATACTACTGATGCTTGATCTCTAATGCATTTCTCTATCATTTTGCATTTTGTACGTGTACTTTTGCACAAAATATGTATATTCCTAAACAGTATAGATTTCTTAATTTATACAAATCATATTCTGGTGTATCTATTTTTTTTTCTTTAAATTTAACTTGGGGTTTTTGGGTTTTGCTTTGTTTGGTTCTGTTGATGATGATCATGATATTTAGTGTCTGGTAGCACAAAACCCCCGCCTCTTTCTTCAAAATTGTCATAGCCATTCTTTGTTCTTTGCTCATCCATGTAAATTTTATAATCAGCTCGTCAGGACACACACACACACACACACACACACACACACACACATACCCCTTGGAAAATTTTATTGGAATTGCTTTTAATTTATAAATTCATTGGCAGAAACTAATCTTGATATTGACCTCCCCTACCCACGAAGGCCAGAGGGCAAGGGAGAGGACTCAGCATTCAGTGTGGTGCCCCTACCTCCTCCAAAATTCCTGTCTTACTGCTCTAGAGACAGAGGGGTGGGAGGTGCCCTGAGGCTCTGAGTGTTTCTCAAAGACTTTTTAGCCAATGCTCCTGTTCTTAGCCCACTACCCGACTCCTCAGTTCCCAAGCCTTTTTGAGAATTCTGCCATATAGGATGGTTGCTCGGCTTCCCCGTGTGGCTTAGGATTCACCTTTCTCAGGTCGGCTAAGAGTTACAACTCTCACTTGCTTCTGAACTTCCAAAATGTTATCATCTTTATTGTCTTTGTGAGTTTCTGCCTTTCATTTTTAATCTCTTTACTGTTTTAGTGGGGTTTCAGGAGGGTGTGAATGCTAACATATTTGAACACCATCTTTACCCAAAACTCTTGTTGTATAACTTATTTCTGCTCAGTTTATTTTGGATGTTTTTTTTTACCTGTTTGCTTGTTTATTTTTTTCTTACTTTTTTTTGTTTCTCACCACCAAACAACACCCCAGCTTTCTGAATCTCAAACCTTCTAACTTGTTTTCTAAAGAATGCATCCAAGACTGTATATACTGCTCTGAGCATCACCTTTGGCCACATCGCATGGACTCTTGCTATGTCCTGTCCTGTTTTTACTGTTCTAAATCATCTGTAACATCCATTTTGAGCTCTTGAACCCGAGCTATTTTCAAGTGTATTAACTTTATATGAGAAAAAAAATGTCCTCATTACTTCAGCCAACAAGCAAATAAATTGCAAAAGGCAGCCAATGTGAAACCCACAAACCTGCTGGCAGTGGAGACCTCAGAGCTCTTCAGAGGCCACACCACATCTCTCTGCCCGTGTCTTTCCCGACAGGCCAATGTCCATTTTTCTCTCTTCTGCACTGACACCACCCTAACTACTTTTAGACGTCTGTCTCCTGGAGATCCGCTGTGAAATGAGGCAGTCCCACTCGAACCCTTTATCAATGGATGCCTCCCAACAGCCCACACGCATTTCCTGCTCACAGCGTCTCTCTCGAAGCACCGTCCACGTTGAAGGTCTAAGCATCCCCACAGGCATCCAAAATCAGAGTTTCTGAGAGTTAGGTCAGAAAACTACTCTTTTTACACCAGGTTATTCACATGGTAAAGTTTAAGAACCACTCATTTAAAGGTTTTTCTGTTAAATGCCATGGACAAACAGCTAGGGGAAATAAAAATGGACGGCCCTTCTCATCCATGTTTGAGGATTTACTTTACACTAATGCTAATAATGAACTTAAGTTCTTTTTCCAAGAATTCCTCCACAGTCCTTTGCATAGCTGTCCAAGGTCCTTGTCAGGGTCAAAAGCAAGCACAACCCAAGATTCCACTTCACTAGCCTATCACATAAGCTTAACCATTAACCCATTTCACAGCCCCCTTTATTCCTTAACAATTGTAGAGACTTATTCAGATTCCCCCCAAGTTGGCTTTACACCAGTGCTCCTATTTCTTTAGTAATTTGCCCAATTCACTGTTACAATTCCTGCTATCTAGAGACAATGTAGAAGCCAGTGCTTGCAAACCGAAAACCGGAATACCCACCAAGAAAAATTTACACAACAGACAGGACAAAGACAAATGCCTTGGTGTATATTTACTCAGGAAACCAAAGTTAAAAAAAAATCTAAACATCAAGAGCAAAACTAAAGAAAAAAACCGTGATTCGAGACATGATTGGCATCGACCATGTGAATGACTGCGATCACTGCACACGCGCTCCTTTCCACTGGTTGTTTTGCGAGATCTTTCGCATAGATGCACGAGAGCCTCGCTGTCGGCGCCCAGGCCAATGCCACTTCATCTGCATTAATAATCGCCTTCGTCCCCTAAACTGTCTGCTTCATTTCTAAAGTTCGTCATTGGAGGTTTATTCTAATTTTCTAGAGGATGCCTCCTCCGTTTCTCGCGGCTGTTTCTCTCTAATCACAGCGGCCAAAGGGATGGCCTCTGTCCCCGACTTCTCTAACCCACCCAAGTGCCCTGCCAGGACTTCGAACACCAGCACATACAATGCAGATACAGCCATTACTGTTCAAGCCTGAAAGGGGCCAGTGCAGAGGTCAAGTATTTCCATGTTCTAGCCAGAAGAAAAGAGAATAAATCACATAAGAACAGTATTTAAATAGATATAGATCACAATGGAGTTTATGCTGAAACAGTTGTAACACATGTAAGGTGGGGAAAAATACAAACAAAACTCAAATTAGGTTGGGGATTTGCTGGGTGTAAGAGCCACAGGCGTAGCAAAATAAAACTCATGAAGGGTGAGAAGGGGTCAGGATAATTGGGGAAGACTTCACAGTGGGAGGAAGGCCCTGGAGGACTCTTACTATCTGCACAGGTGACGAAGGTATTCCAGACATGGGCAGCAGCATGAGCAGAGGCCCAGAGGCGGGGATGAACACGGCACGCGGAAAGGTCGGTGAGGGCACGGCCACAGCCGGAGCCGAGCATGGAGTCTGGAGAGGACCCGGAGAAAAGGCTGACGAGGGGCTCTGGGGACCCTTCAGGGTCGGCCCAAGAACCTTTGCGGGCTTCTTCTCCACGGGGTGCAGCTTCTGATGCTGAACGAAACTGCCGTACCACTTGAAGGCTTTCCCACACACCTTACACTCATAAGGCTTCTCTCCGGTGTGAACTCGCTGATGCTGGATGGAGGCTATCTTCTGCGTGAACGCCTTGCCACACTCTTTACACTGGTAGGGTTTCTCCCCAGTATGAATTCTCTGGTGGACGATAAAAAGTGACCTGCAACCAAAGGCTTTCCAACATTCCTTGCATTTGTAGAGTTTCTCCCCCGTGTGCAGCCTCTGATGCTGGAGATAGGCTGCACTCCGACGGAAGGCTTTCCCACACTCCTTGCATTCGTAGGGTTTCTCTCCGGTGTGGATCCGCTGGTGCTGAGTCAGGGCTGTGTTGGAACTCAAACCTTTGCCACACTCCTTGCACTCGTAAGGCCCTTCTCCAATGTGGTTCTTCTCGTGCACAATACAGTCATAGCTGGACTTGAAGGCTTTGCCACATTCCTTACATTTGAAGGGCTTCTCCCCAGTGTGACTCATCTGGTGCCGAATCAGCTTGGAGTTGTATCTGAAGATTTTCCCACATTCTTTGCATTCGTAGAACTTCATTCCCCCTCGAAGTATCAGATTCGGGTTCAGGCTGAAAGTATGCCACGTTGCCTTGCTTCTAAAATCAACGTGCTGAGAAATGTTTCTGAGTCCGCCTGTTGGCACTCTGGGCAGCTCTGTTTCTTCAGAGGCTTCCTGCTTTACAGCTGGCTCTTCATTCTTGATCCAGGACTCACCACCTGACCAAAGAAACCACGAGCGCCCCGAGTTACTGAGCTGGATGGAAAAGAGGACCCAGTGGTCCTAATTTTCTCTCGTACGATATGATGTTTTAAATATACCCATAAAATGGCTATAAGCATCCATATCGGAGGATGAGAAAAAGAAAAACAGTAACAGCGAACTGGAAAAGTAACGACACTGGAAACTAACTAAGTGCCTCCCATTAGGAGGGCTGGGGGGGGAGGGGGAAGGCAGGTAAAATGGGCACAATGAGGACTTCAAGAATGGAAAGAAGGCAGGAGGGAGGGAAAAGAGAATAAAGAATGCGAGAGATAAGAGAGATCAGCAGAAATGAAAAAATATTTGAGAGAGAGAGAGAGGCAGAGAGACCCGGATGAGGAACAGGACACAAGTGAGCCTGCTCAGACATCAGAGGTGGAGCGGGTTGGAAACACAGCCAAAAGCAAACAATGGATCCCAGTGCCCCACCTGTAAGCCCGGAAACCATCCCAAATTCCAGATTCTAAACAGTGGCCTAATGATTCCATTTTTAAATACTCCACATAATATTGTGGGATAAAAGATTCTTTCTTTCAGAAAGTCAGTAGGAACAGAAGTTGAATTGGAGCGCTCTAGGTCATGGTGGTACTACTGCTTAAGGAACCACTATTTACAAAATCACATTATGTGTGAGAAGCGAGGCCTGGTTCTTTTTCTCAAAAGGAAAGAAAACCCAAGTAATCAAAAGTCCCCAGGACTTGTAGGTAGTCTCAGGGCAATTTCAGGCTGTGTGCATGTGTTAGGTATGTGTGGGGGGTGGAGGATATTCCTTGCCCTATCCTGTGTACTATCCTGTGTAGCCCCATATAAAACAAATACAATGTAAACATAAAGATTATGGCATATGGAACTTTAAAATACACACACACACACACACACACACACACACACACACACACAAAGGCAACTTAAAGGTATTTTTTTCATTGCCGAAAGCCTAAAAATAAAATGTATAGCTGTGGCACAAATAATTAAGTCTGACCCAAAGAATCAAATTTTGCCTAAAATATGGCTGAAATACTACTGCTCTGCCATGAAAATTGGCATTAAGTTAACCATTTCCACTGGTAAGTGAGACCTAGTTTCGGAGTTCCTGGGTCACAGCTTTCTGGGAGAGGATGGCCATGTGTGTGTGTGCAGACAGTGTGGCCAAGCAGGGCTGGGGACTGGTCTTTCTGGGCTCGGGGCTGGAACTTGATAGAGGTCAGGGAATGCACCAAGTGCGGCCTCATGGACGACCGGGAGCTTTGTTCTCCGCTGCAGAAGAAACAGTTCCAGTAAACCGGGAGGGCAAAACCAGAAACAGCTCTAGTCTCTTACTCACCTGGACAGACGCCTCTCAAAACCTCTGCTTCCCAGGGATCTGGGCCCCAAGGTGCGTCCCCTTTCTCCAGCTGGGAGATCAAAACAGGTTTGGGGAGTGGAAATGCTACTCCAGCAAGAAAAAAAGAGACAGACAAGTTGAGGGAGACATCCAGAGGCCTTCCTGCGATCTCTCTCAGCCCACCCCATAACGGGCTAGTTGGGGAGGGCAGAGAAATGGAGACCCCAGGAGACCAAGTGAGCCAGCCAGGGGTTCTGAGGAAGGGCTCCAAACGGCTCCAACGGATGGACAGAGACAGCCATTCTCCCCAGGAAGGAACTGCAGCCTTGGCCTGACTCAGAAGAAGGGGAATCCTCTAGGGAGGGGTGCACATGCTGACATCCTGGGAGCCTCCTCCACAAGGGGAGGGCCCACAACCCTAGAAAAACGGAAGGAACACATGGAGGGGCAAGGCTCACCTAAGGCACCCAAAGTCCTCCCCCTCAGGGCCCAGGGCCCTGCTCTTCTCTGGGATGTCAGGAAGTCCAGTTTCAAAACCAAAGGGCGCCAGGGATTTCCCCACCGGGAATCTCCAGGGCCTGGTCACTGCAGAACGCCCCCTGGGGTCATCAAACCTAAGGACTACCAGAATCCCCCAATATCTGAGAAGACATCCAGCTATCACAAAGGGCCACTGACAGACACCTTACCCAGGGAGGCCACATTTGCATAATTCTCCAGCATCACCTCCCTGTACAGGGCCCTCTGCACAGGGTCCAGGCCGGCCCACTGATTCTCGGTGAAGTACACAGCCACGTCCTCAAAGGTCACTGACTCCTGAAACAACAGGTTCCTGCTCAAGTGCTAAGTGAGGAGCAGAAGGGGGCAGTCTGAGCTCCAGGTGGACCTGCCAGAAGAGATGGACCTGCCAGGGTCCCCAACTCTGAGCCCTGTGGAAGGTCGGATTTATCAAGAACAACACCCAGCACCCCAGCCAGGGGCCAGCCCTCAGCTAGTGTTTCCACCTCCAAATGCAGACCGACCCCCAACACGCTCCCATCTGCTCAGCTCTGGGGCCCCAACTGTCATGCCAAACGCACAGCCTGGCATCTGGGGCTCCCTGCCTGGTAAATGCATCACGATCTGTCCCTCTGGCACCTCCGACCCTCATGTGCTCCATAACCTGGTCGCCTGATTTTCTGTACACTAACCACTGAAGGCAGTGCCACTCGCCTGGCTCCCCTCATCTGAAGTGCACGCGCACGGCCCTCTTTGTTCCCTGCACCTCGCGTCTCCTTCCCCACCTTCCACTGTGAACGGAGGAGCCACGCCTCAAAAACTTTCCCAGCGTTTTGCAAATTTCTTGTTATACCTTCTTACTTTATCAGAAAGCTAGCTCTGCTGAAGGAAGCCTGCAGCCTGCCTCTTTCGGCCTCCTCTCTGAACCCTCTATCTTCAAAGAAGGTCGGCAGTGTCCTGTCTCTGGGCACAGATCCATCCCACCTGCCAAGGTGTGCCCCTCTCGGCCTCCCGCCGGGACCGTCTCCATCTTTCCCAAGAGGGAAGGGAGCTAAGACTTGTTATCGTCTCTCTCCCCGACCAGAATGTAGTCCACAAGACAAGGATCCTGTTTTGTTCATAACTGGTTTACTAGCACACAGGACAGTGCCTGGTATAGTCGATCTTAATATAAAGTTGCTGAAATAGTTAATTTCAAAGCAGTTTGGCCACAAATGAAACGTTTTTAAATTAGGAAGATGATTAGAAAACAACAACAAACACACCACCCCAACCGTAAAATGCCAAAGCTTATCCATTAAAATTGATGGCTGGTAATTTACCATGTGAAAGGCTTCCTATGCAAGACTGGAAAAGGAGCATAAATATAGGAAAGGAATAAACATAAATACCTTTGCTTTGTAGATGAAATAACTATAGTCGCCCCAAGTATCCAAGGGGGATTGGTTCTAGGACCCCCCGCAGATACCAATATCCGTGGATGTTCAAGTCCCTTTTATAAAATGGCATAGTATTCCCGCAAAATCTACACAATTCCTCCTGTATATTTTAAATCACCTCTAGATTACTTATAATACATAATACAATGTAAATGCTATGTAAATAGTTGTTATACTATGTTGTTTAGAGAAGAAAGACAAGGGGAAAAAAAGTATATGTTTGGTACAGACACCACCATTGTTGACCTAACTACAGAATACACGTCAGCTACAATGTAACTTTTTTTCAAATATTTTTGAACCACAGTCGGTTGAATATGTGGATGTGGAACCAGCAAATACAGAGGGCTGACTGTATCTGCCTAAAAATATCCAAGCATCAAGAGAATAAACAGAAAACATCTAAAACTGACAAAATAATTTGTTAGCTATAGAATAAGTAAACCAAAATCATTAGCTTTCCTAAATACCACCGTAAACAATTAGAAGATAAAATGGGAGAAAAATAAGATGTCATTCATATAAAAATGCCTAAGAATAGACCTAAAAAAGATGTGCAAGACCAAGATGAAGAAAATTGAACGCTTCTTGAAATAAACAAAAGAAGTACTGAATAAATTGGAACATACAGTGTTTCTGAATGGGGAAAATCAAATTTATAAAGTCAGTTATTTCCAATTTTGTCTATGAATTCAATAAAATCCATTCCCCCACCAAAAAAACCAGTGAGATTTATGCAGTCGTATGGGATTATTTAAAGTCATCTGAGAAAGTAAGTGTGAAAGACTAGCCAAGAATGTTTTGAAGAAAAAAATTTTTGGAACAAGAAGATGAGGGGGAATTAAACCTAACCTTAAAAGGGCAATATTTTGAGAAAATGAGAAGACAAGCCACAGACAGGGAGAAAATATAAAAAAGACAGGTCTGATAAAGGACTGTCACTGAAAGTAAACAAAGAGCTCTTAAAACTCAACAATAAGAAAGCGATCGACCCCATTAAAAAATGGGCAAAATACCTGAACAGATACCTCATCAAAGAAGACATACAGATGGCAAATAGGTATATGAGAAGATGGTCTATATCATGTCACCAGGAATATGTAAATGAAAACAATAAGACACCACTACACACCTTCTAAAATGGCCAAAATCCACAACGCTGACAACACCAAATGCAGGTGAGGATGTGGAGCAACAGGAACTCTCATTCATTGCTGGCGGAAATGCAAAATGGTACAGCCACTTTGGAAGAGAGTTTGGCGGTTTCTTACAAAACTAAATATACTATTACCATATGATCCAGTAATCACTCTCCTTGTATCTTCCCAAATGAGCTAAAAATTTAAGTCCCCACACAAAAACTGGTTCACAGATATTTATATCAGCTTTATTCATAATTGATGAATTATATGGTGCCATGATGTGGTCCATCCAGACAATGCAATATTATTCAGCACTAAAAAGACATAAGCTATCAAGCCATGAAAAGTCAAAGACAAACCTTAAATGAATATGGCTAAGTGAAAGAAACCAGCCTGAAAAGGCTATATACTCGATGATTCCAACTACATGACCTTCTGGAAAAGGCAAAACTATGTAGACAGTTAAAAAGATCACTGCCAGGGAGCGTGGGATGAATAGGCAGAGCACAGTATTTCAGGGCTGTGAAACAATTCTGTATGATACTATAATGGCAGGTACACATCATTATACACTTGTAACCCACAGAATGTAGAACACCAAGAGTGAACCCTAATGCAAACTATGAACTGTGGGTAATTATGAGGTGTCAATGTAGGTTCATCAGTTGTAACTAATGTGCCACTCTAATAGGGAGTGTTGATAATAGGGGAGGCTGTGCATGTGTGGGGGCAGGAAGCACATGGGAACCCTGTTTATCTGCTCAATTTTGCTATGAACCTGAAACTTCTCTAAAAAATAAAGTCTACTTAAAAAAAAGGCAATACTTAATCTCTTACTGGTCTGCAATGTGCAACTAATTGACCCACACTCATCCACAACCAACTCATTGCTAAGGGCTGGGAAACTTTTTTAATACATAGGTCCAACCATGTCACCATCCCTGCTTAAAATCCTTCCGTCCTTCCCAGTGAGCCCAGAATCGAAGCCAAAGTCTTCACAGTGATCGACAAGACATGTGCCCACTTCTCCCGCCTCACACTGACCCACGTGCGCTGGCCTCTCCCGTTTCTGGAGCACACCCAGCTTGTCCCCGCCCCAGGGCCTTTGCATTTGCCATCCTTTTCTCTGGAACACTCTCTTCAGTAGTTTCCAAGACTGTTCCTGCCTCATCCTCAAGGTCTCAACCTCATGCTACAACCTCCATGAGGGTTTCCCTGACCATGGCCTTCACAGGCAGCTTCTTCAGGGCTTCTCACATTTGAAAAGGCGCATAACCATCCCCTGGAGAGCTTGTTACAACAGATTCCTAAACCCACGTATCCTCCTCCCCAGTCTGATTCTGAGTCTAGTGTGGGGCCCAAGAATGTGCATTTCAAAGGCGCTTCCAGGTGATATGGCCTCTGGCTGTGGACCATGCTCTTGAGAAGCACTGAGCTTTAGCGGCATAGAATTACGGTATTAACTTACAGACGGTCTGTATTAACTTACAGACGGTCTATTTTGCTCAAAGCACCCTGCATGAGAAAAGGGAACTTGTGGGCATTATTCAGTACTATGCACCTGGCATTTAGAAAGTGCATACGGAAAGAACCCCGTTGGTCTCTCTGGGATACATCTACAATTTGTGGGACAACCTCTTCAGTGAAGAATTTCTCTGATCTCAGCAGGTGCCTGTTCTTTATAAAACATGATCTGGATTTCCACATTCTGGGAGAAATTCTTGGCTTGGGTCCCCATTTTTCCACTTAAACCTACACATCCAAATTCATCCCTCTCTATACACAAAACTCTCATTTCCTCCACCACACATTTACAAGCCAGAGCCCTGGGATAGCCTCAAAGAGGACACCAGAGCCCGGCCAAGTTAGGCCTTCTTGATTCTTTCCTGATTACCTTATAGCTTGCGTGATTTTAGAAGACTGAAAGGAAGCTCAGCTCACCTGAGGCCAAGTTGTTTGGAGCATGGCTGCTGTCCCCTGGCTTCATGCACTGTCTTCTGAATTTGGAAAAGCAAGGACCTTAGAAGCTAAGAGAAGAAGAGCCATGAGTGCCATGGTCCCTGTCCTGCATCGCCCACTTCACACGTGGCAGACTGAGGGACCCACGTTGCCCAGAGCCTTCCCAGTCTTCCCATTTTCAGCACTGGTAGGAGGCTCTATCAGGCCCCCTTCTGGCTGATGGCCCCCAAACTCCTCGTGAATTGCCCTGCCTAGTCCTCGGGACAATCCCCCATCTGCCTGCTCAGTTCAAGAGCGTTCCTAAGCCCATTCACACGGCGGGCACTGAGGGATTCAAGACGAACCCTGTCCCTACAGTGTTGGGTCTGAACAAACCTAAAAAAGAGCTTGTAGGGACCATGACATTGGCCCCAAAAAAAGTGCCTATGGAGAACTGGGGCAGGGATGGCTGGATGAGGGTTAAGGGTAAAAAACTCAGTGTGCCAGTGAGTGATGCTGACCGAGACCCCGCCAGGAACTCCACCCAGGGAGACCCCAAACAGAAACGTCAGTACCGGGCGCAGGAAGCTGTTGGGCCAAATTCTTTTAAGATAGAAAAGAGGATCACGCCTCGGTAGGCAGGGGGCTGTCTGGACTAAGGCTCTCGCAGGCCGTGCAGCCACCTCGGGCGGCTTCTGCAAGGCCCAGACGCCGGAGCTCCGGGTCACGGGGGAGGGAGCCAGCACTGAGACCGAGTTCAGGGGAAGGGATGCTGACGAGTCGCCTGCGAAAGCGAGGACGCCGGCACCGGGCGGACCTGCACGTAGATCTCGCTGGAACCCACGCTCTTCCTCTCCGAACACCCAGAAGCTGGTAGCTAAAAGCCGATGCGGAAGTGAGCGCGCGCGCCCAGCACCCCTCTAGGCCGCCAGGAGGCTGCCCATCTCGGTGGTCTCCGCGGCCTGGACCCACGTGACCGGGCCCGCCCTGCGGAAGGGGCGGGGTTGCGGGACTTCTGCCTGCGTCCTCACTGGCTAGTGGCTGGTGCCTCCGCCGGCTGAGACTGCTGAACCGACTCTGGGACTGCGGTGTCACAGCACTGATGCAGCCTCGCTCTACTCAGACCTTGGCCTCTGGGCCCAGGTGGGGCCCCAAGTTAACGGACTGTCTCATCAGCTGTCAGCCGCCTTTCCCCTGTGGGTCACCTGGGCTGTGCAGGTGTGGGGAGAAAGCTCCTGTTGTGTCATCTCTTAGATGCCCAAGCTAAGGATCCAGCTTCGGTCCCAAGCTGGGCAGCGCTTAAGAAAACCATGGTTTCCACCTGCCGTTTTACATCCCTCTCCTACCTAGGACCTAGACGTATATGGGACCTTTTGGGGCAGATCTATGTAACAACCAAAATAACGGCGACTACGTTTGTTAGGCACCCAGTATATACTGGAAATGCCCTATATTAAATAATTTTGTCCTGTATTGACTTTGGCAGGACGCCCTAAATGTCCTGTGTTTAGCTTTTTCCAATAACTTATAAAAATTCTGTAATTTACAGCTTTTTTTGTTCTTGTTGCCCAGTCACTGGAACTTAAATAACTTAAATTAAAAATACTATAGTTCCACAAATAAAGATCTGGATAATCTCTTACAGTCTCTACTGCAGGTTTGGCTGTCGGAAGAAAAGAAAAAAAGAGAAAACACTAGAAGTACTTGTTTTTCATATTCAAGAATGGAAAAGACTGTTCTTTGACCAAAGTCCCAGGTCACAAGTAACTGCAGTTAATTGACGTAACTTTGGGTGAATACACATGTTCTGAAAACCAGCCAATAAGTGACAGCCTCACTTTGGTAACTGCCAGTAACTATGCTTCTGAAAAGTTAGCAATTCCGTGGCATCCCCAAGTTTCTGAACAGGAGCCAATCAGTGACAAATGCCCTTGAAAGTTAGCTAATCAATGACAGTCCCACCCGCTAAACCCAGTTAAGCAAGTGCCTCACTACAGTGACCATGCTTCTGAAAATCACTGGGTCAACAGTAACCTTATTCCAGTGCCCACTTCTAGGCACTGTCACCAACATGGACAGACTTTGACGGCTCTGGTATGTTAACTGAACACAGTTCCAGAAATATGGCTCCTACTCACCAAGCACCAAGAGTTTTAATGGGCGATTGGCCTCCCACTGCTAGAAAATAGCATGACCCTGGATATCTGGATCTAGCAGAGTAGTTTGTTACTCCTTTCACAGGAATCAGACATAAGTTACTGGCCAACTATAGCATAAAGTCCTACCAAGAGTACATTAGGTATCTATGGCTGCATAACAAATCACCCCAAAACTTTTTGACTGAAAATACACATTTGTTATCTCTCCAAGTTTCTGTGAATCAGGAATTCAGGAGTGGCTTGGCTGGATGCTACTGGCTTGGGATGTCTTATGAGCTTTCCATCAGGCGTCACCTGGAGCTGCACTTATCTGAAAGCTTGCCTGAGGCTGGAAGAGCTCTCCCTCCAAGGTCGCTCACTCACATGGTTGGCAAGTTGGTACTGGTTATTAGTGAAACCTCAGTCCCTTCACACATGGGTATCTGCACGTGTCTGAGTGTCCTCACAACATGGCAACAGGCTTCCACCCAAGGTAAGTAACCCAAGAAGCCAAGGCTAGCTGCAGTGTTATGATTTAGCTTTGGAAGTCACGCACCTCATATACTCTTGTCAAAGGCCAGCCATGATTCAGTGCTGGATAAGATGCACAAGGGCATGAATGCCAGGATGAGAATCACCAGGGACCACTGTGGAGGCTGCCTAACATAGAGATTTTACCTACCACAGAAACAGTCCATTTCATAATACCCATGGCATTTTTATTGTAACATTTACGCAAAGTGATTGCTTTAGAAAAGCATTAGATTTCCAGAATCAATGGCATAACAACTTACATTTGCACAATGCCCTTTCTCTAATCAAATATCTACCATGAATCTATAGAGATGGGTGCACGTATATGGGGATATATATAGCAGAGGGTACCCCCAAAAACTGTATACACATTTTAAGAAAGGAAAAAAACTGTATTAAAATTACACTGATGGTGGGCCGGCC